ATCGGTAATATGCCATTCTATAATTTTTTTCCTTCTTATCTATATCATACCGGTATGGTTTTGTGGACGAACTGGCAATTGCATCTCCGGTGTCAATACTATGGTTAGTAACCTGAGTAAATCACTAAATAAGCTTCACTTGTCAAGTTTAAGGCAGGTGGTCTTTTGGCTTTCAGTTGAACATCATCAAAAGAATTAAAATCCTAGCTTGTGCGTCTGAAAGAAATCTATTCCTAATTAATGTGCTTGCAGATTCTTTACTATAAAAAACATCACCTTTACTTGTTCGTCCTTGATACGGACATACAAAGGTACTTTACCTATACGCACTTACATTTTCTCCTTGCGCCGCTAACACTGTCGTATTATCCGCATTATATATGCGGTATTTGCGAAAATACTTTCCTAAAAAAAAAAAATCTTCTGCCACACAGGAACACTGCGCGCCGGTATCCAGGAGTGCGGTGGGTGGCTGGGATATTATTCACCAAGACTTCAATCTTCGGAAGAGTCAAATTTTTCACCATTACTGTATTTAACTTGTAGGAAGAGGGGTTTTCGTGGCCTTCGGATTTCCGCACCCTCTCGTCAGCAGAAATCCGTTTTAGTTTAAATTATTTTTTTCTTTCCGTGCTTTCCTTCTTTTTCCACTGGCCTTGAGACTTTTTTCCTGGGTTGCTATTGAACTGTCGACGTTCGCCGGCTGTTTTTGAATGCTCGGGTTTCCTTGCCCACTGATTCGCTTTTGCTTCCGTAGCCGTGTGTGCTTGAGTTTGCTGTAGTCTTGGCGTACCAAATTGGTTTCGCTGTTGATATTGGCGTCTTCTTTCGATTCGACGTCCGCCGTTCTTCTACTTTCAAACTGGATTGCTAGCTCAAATAACTTTTCCAGTGTAGTCGGATTTCTTAATTCAATAAAGTCTTGCACTTGGGGGTAGTAACCTCGGCAAAATCACTTGAATTATTTCAGGATCCGGACGGTTTCCATACAAGAGCTTGAAAACGTGAATTTTTCTTAAAATAAAGCTCGAGAGGTTTTCGATTCTTTGTTGATATATACTGAAAAGTTCCGTTTCTAATTTCGCACGATCCCTTACAACAGGGAAGGCTTTTAGTAGGGCAGTCTTGAAATTTTCGTAAGTATAGGTGGGACTTCCTGCTTGACCCAAGAGACTTCTGCCTATACATTTGAACCAGTTAAGCGCTTGGCCCCTCAAAGCGCTGGTAGCTAAGGTAACTTTTTGAAACTCGTGCACGGGGTAGTAGGGGTAGAGCATGAAGTGGTCATCCAATTTTTCCAAAAAACTGGTTACCGGTGAGTTTCCATTAAATGTTGCTTCTGGTTTCATCGAAGCGCGCATGGTCTGGACTGGACGATGTAACCAAATCCTTCCAGGGCGGCAGCTGGCATTTCTGGATTCTGAGCCGTTTCTGCAGGCAGCACAGGTTCTTCTTGAAACTCGGCCATGGTTATTCTTCTTCGTTGGGCGCCACTATCAGGTTCAATGTTCCTTCTAACCTTCTTCGGGAAACATACAAGGACCTGACTCGGAACAGAGAGCTTACTAAAGCTATGTTCACTAATTGGGTAAGTAGACAGGATACACACGAAGGGTATACAAAACCCTTTATTTTTCTCTATATACAATAACTTCCGTACTTCGGAATACAATGACCCTCCTACTCGGGGTCTAACGTAAAATATAAAAATAAAAATAAAAACTAAACTCTAATTTAAAAATAATAAACGTGGAAGATTGGCCTTATAATTAACAGGAAGCGTATGTAGCACAGAGAACTGTGAACACTACAATACGTTTAAAATTTATCAAGAGGATTAAAACCTCTGGCCTGGAAGGCAACCAGCAACTAGCAACTGCGTAACTTCTAAGGTAAGCGGCCTGCTTCGAACTCACTGCTTCCTCTCTCTCGCTTGGCAAAAAGGCCACAACTTAAATACTTGGCGTTCGCCAGACAAACTTTGCATAAAATCCTTCACGCTTATAATTCTGGCCGGAAGTAGAAAATAAAATAAGAAGTGATAGTAAAGATTTAAAATAAAATAAACGTTAGTAAAACTTAAGGTCTACCTTTGTTTTAAATATTGGCATAAATTTTATTAATAAATTGATTTTTAACGACTTTACCCGAAGGTGCCGGCTCCTTGTCCAAGAAATTTCTTGGTAACATCATGCCTAGTATTGAGAACTGGTGCGCAAAATGGAGAATATCCATAAACGCCCAAAAATCTAACTTGCTCATAGTGCGACGAAAAAACACACACAGGACGCCTGTGCAGGAGAATATTACATTATTTAATGAAGTTGTCCCAAAAGTTCGAAATGCCACCTATATTGGTATAGTCTTTAATGAAACAGCTTACCTGGAAGGACCACATCACACATGTTCGCAAAAAGGCGTTCCATGTTATTAATAGCTTAAAGCCCCTTCTAGGGAAAGTTTTCAAGTCTTGACCTGAGAAGAAAGCGTTTAATTTACCTCACTACTATTAGGCCAGTCATCACATATGCATCGCCTGCTTTGGTCGACGATACGTAAAAATGATATTAAAAGGCTGCAACTAATACAGAATAGAGTGCTTCGTACTATTACTAACGCGCATATGTATGTTCAGTAACTTAACTCTTCACCATGACTTGCGTCTGGATACACTTGAGGAGCACATACGCAAACTTACTTAATAGGCACTTTATGATAAGGCACTTAAGTGTGATCACATGAATATTTTTCTGACTTTCAACTATGTCATATTAATGGAGGATAAAGACCTACGTCCATTCGCGGCCCACGTCTGTAACTCGAACTTCCCCACTTGATAATTTTGTGTATATATGTGAAAATAGTTTGTTTGTTTGTATTATATGACAACATCTCCACCTCTGTCCATAATGCTTAGCTCTCCTGACCGAATGATGCCGGTCCCTTTTTGCCACCTCCTATTTACTGTATGTACGTGACGATAGACTTATCGTGATGTCGCCATTGGGGCTAGTTTCATAGAGCCGGACACGCAGTTCACAGGACTGCATTGCCGGCAATAACCTGCCAGTCAGTCAGTCATAACCTTTTAGTATCCAAATATTACAAATTGGAGCTTACTACCTTTCTGTGTGACAAATATGGAGAATAGGAAAGAAACGACGATTGAGGAAAGAAAACTGGCCGTTAATTTGTCTAATCAAGGAAAATCTTTGAGAAAAATAGGAGAAATACTTGGAAGAAGTGTAAATTGTATTAGAAAGAATCATTCAAAAATTTAAAATTTAGAAAGGATGGTACGCTGGAAAACCAAGCAGAGGAGAGGCAGGAAGAAAATTCTCAGTTCAGCAGCAGAGAGGAGAATTGTACACAAGGTAAGGATTGATCCTACAATAAGTGCTCCAAAAATTGCTGCAAGTACTTCGGAAACTGGGTAAATCGGTTAAATCTGTTTCTGCAGAAACAGTGCGCAGAATCCTCAGAAGGGCTGGTTATAATGGCAGAAAAGCTCCCAAAAAGCCCTTCATTAGTAAAAAAATAAATAGAGCTAAGAGATTAAAATTTGCTAAAGAGCACATTCTAAAGCCTAAAGAGTTCTGGAATGAAGTTTTTTTTCAGCGATGAGAGTAAATTTAATGTTTTTGGCAGTGACGGTCATCGTATGGTGTGTGTGGCGCAAGAAAAATTCAGCTTTAGATCCAAGAAACACAATTCCAACTGTGAAGCATGGAGGTGGGTCAGTAATGGTTTGGGGCTGTATGTACGGCATCATCGGGAGTTGGAAAGCTAGTGTTTATTGATGGAATAATGGATAAAATGGGTTATCTTATTATATTGAAAAATAATTTGAAGGGCAGTGCTACTCAATTGGGACTAGGATCAAAATTCACATTTCAACAGGATAATGATCCAAAGCATACAGCAAATACTGTCAAAGAATGGCTGCTGTATCACTGCCGAAATCAGCTGAACACACCCCTCAACCTCCTGATTTGAACGTGATCGAAAATTTGTGGTCCCACCTTGAAAAAGAGGTCCGAAAACATCAGATCACAAGTAAAGAACATTTGAAGCATGTACTAAAAGTGGAAGTGGGAAAACATTTCACCCGAAATTACGAAAAATCTTGTTGATTCGATTCGATGTCCCGGCGGCTGGAAGCTGTCATCAAAGCCAGTGGGTATGCTACAAAATATTAATGTGTTGTTTTTTTATAATTTATTTATGTAATAAAACAATTACATGTACCCTCAATTTTGTGAGCTCAGATTTTTGACGATTTCGGTTGTACATTTTGTTTCTGTATTTCATGCATTTTTTTATGTCTATTTATGAATAAATATTAAGATTAGGTATCTTTCTACATCCTCGTCTAAAGGTTTTGGTGACTGTCTTTATCTGACTGACAGTTTTTGTTTTCATTCTAAACATGAATTCTTTTGTAGAATGGAGTATACCCTCAATTTTGGGACTCACTGTAATTACTAAAAGAGATGAAAACAAAGTAAATATCTTTCTGAATGAAAATACTAAGCGATGCCTTGGTTGCGAGAATGTTTGTTCATGTTAAAAGTATTGTTACCTAAAAAAAGTAATAAAAACTCAGATAATTCGTTCTACAATAAAAAAATATTCATATAAAAATTATTAATACAAAGTAAAAATGCTTAAAATACCTGTATCTGTACCTGTACCGTAACCTGTACTTTGAAAAGAACCATGATTACTGTTTCACCCGGCTTACTGGAATCCCCCTTTTTTTTTTTTTTTTTTCTGTATAGCTTTAACCCCTTCCGGTACGATTTAATAATGAAAAAGTGTGCATGAAATAACCATTTAATTTTTATTTAAAAAAACTTGTTTCATTTTATAATTCTTACATAGTCTTAAATAATATTCATTTTACATATTGTTAATTACATTTTTTTAAAACGTTTAAATTAAAAATTAAAACGGTAAAATTAAGAAAAATCAGAGCAAAACTTTAATAAGGTATATGGTTAATAATCTTCAAGCCTGTGGTACTTTTCAAAACACTCTGGTAAGTGCAAAGGAATCCTGCATTGCTTACACTGCCAGGGAGTCTCACTTCTAATTTTATTCTTGTAACACACACGGCACCTCTTAGTAGGTTTTCTTTTATTCTGAGTTGAAGGAATGTATTCTGCAAAATGTCCCCATCTTTTAGCCTGCAACCTAGCCGGGGTGTCACTACATGAAGGACGTCCTCGGGTTTTATAATCCGGTAGTGTAACTTTTTGTAGGATTTGTTCTGCTATGTCCAGTCGAAAGCTCCCAATTCCGATTTTGTTGGTATTATTGATTTTGTTATATAAAACATATGAATTGCAGAGTGCAATGTCAAACATGTAAAAAAATATTTTCTTATATTCTTTTATATATTTTCGCATAACCGGAAAACACGGCAACTGTTGATCATTTTTGTCGACGCCTCCCATTCCGTTATTGTATTCAATCACACAACTTGGTTTTAAAACATTCTCCTCTTTTCCATCTTTCCTCTCTCTTTTTTCTCGTATCCACGATGTCAGCATTACAATGTTTGCTGCTGAGTATATATTGTCACACCATCTCAAAGCTAGTAAACCTCGACTGGAGAGACTTCGAACTTCTCCTCTTCTCAGTTTTGATTTTGAAAGCTCCTTTGGCATGTTTTTCCTGTTTTTTCGTACGGTTCCGACGGCGCTCGTATTGTTTTTCAACAAATTTAGGAACAAATTTGGAGATGAATACCAATTATCCAAATATGTAGTGTATCCTTTTCCTAATACATGCTTTGATAGTTTCATCACCACACTTTCTGATGCGGTCACACCAATCTTGTCTTCACCGATATATATTTTGAACTGGCTACAATATCTTGACTCCGACTCACACAGTTTATAATATTTTATTCCAAATCTTGCTCGCTTGGATGCAATAAACTGCACAAAACTCAATCGACCTTTATATTTCATCAAAGACTCGTCAATAGATATACTATTTTGGGCAGTGTAAAGATTAGTAAATTTATCATTTAAATAATTTACTATATTTCGAATCTTTTTAGTCCAAAGGGATTTGAATACCGAAGGACTATTAGTTTCGTTTTGACATTTTGCGTCGGACTCATAAATGTCGGTTCACTTTTCAAACTGTTGCCACAGAATGTTAGAGTCCTGCATTATATTTGAAAGAAATTAAGAAATTAAATAATGAAAAATCTGCATAAATGTATGTATATTTCTCGTATTGTGATAAAACAACGGTACATAGAGTCATCGAATTTTGAATAACGTAATCCTCCAACGAATATGAGCATGTGGAAGACCAAATTTGAAATTTGAAATTTGTTTTATGATCGATTTCCTATTTTTTAAAACTTTGACGAATTTTTGATTAACAAACTCAAGGATTTCAAAGCGAGCGCAATGGCAACGTTGTGCAGAAAAAAACATTTTTTTTATCTCCAGCGCGTGAGTCTCTGTATCGGAAATTCTTCTAAAGATATGCTCGTTTTAAAACTATTTTGCGATATTGCTGTTGCACTGGATCTTATGGTTTAAGTGCGAGGAACATGATATTTAATAAAGAAAGGTAACACACAAAATGTTAAAAAACGCCCCTTTGGACGTAATTTAAAATCTGAAACATTTCAGATTTTTTTTTTTTTTTTTTTTTTAAATTTATCGTTGTCGTCCGCTTTTTCGTTATCTGCAAAATGCAGGAAGCGTGATATAGCTAAGATCCTTCTGAGAGACATAGTCTGTGAAAATATTGGCGTATGTACTATTGGCCTTTTCGACCAGTACATTTTTAAATCTGATTTTTTTATTTGCGACATAATAATGCATAGCGCGAAATATGCTTTCATTTCGCCGACAGTTACAGGAAACCATTCTACATCTATTTTCTTGCTTGGACAATGTTCTTTCTTTATTACTTGTTCCGCATACCTGTTAGTTTCTATTGATAGTATTTCCCAAAAGTTCACATTCAATACTTCTTCAAAAACCTCTAATGGCTTTGGATTAGCACCTAGTTTTTGCATAATCAGAGGGTTTACACCAGATATTACTGTAATTTTTTTTTTTTATTTCAGGCACATTATCTATTTCCTTCCAACACCATTCTTCCGATGATGTGTCTGCGATTCCAGAAGGTTCACTATCATCATCACTTATTAGTCGCCTAACACGTTTTCGCTTTCTTGGTAATATTTCACTATTATTATCTTCATTATCAGTATCAGGTAAGTGTACACTTATTTCTTCTGATTCTCCATTAATGGCTCCAATCACCTTGACCTTCATAGTCTACAAAACTCTTATCCATTATGGTATTTACTATACAACACATTTTTCCGGTACTTTTCCGTTTCGCGGCGCAAACCTCACCATTTCCGTTTCGCCGGCGCAAATCTCGCCAAGCAGACTTTATTGCTTTATTGGTGACAACACACAGTATACACATAAAAAATGTTAGCAAATGTTAGTTCTAAGATGTTTTTTATTTTGAATGCATAAATAAAAAATATTTAAATATTGAATTTTGGAACAATATTGAAAGAACTTTTCACACCATTTAACGGAATTTAATTCTTCACAACAACCATAAATAAATCTTACACACTTCATGAAACTCAACAATCGGCGACTTTATCGCTTGCGCCGGCATTTGCGCCGGCCAAACGGAAAAGTACCATTTTTCCTTTACAGAAATATATATTGACCGATGCTCACACTAAATTTTTACAGGAACGAAATCTTACAGACTAACAACAATTCGGCCGTGACTTGTACCAAGAAATTCTAACGGTAAACAATATGTGACAATATGTAAACAATATGTGATAGGATCTGTGATATTTTTCACAAGTAAAAAAGGTGTTGCCAAATTCAGTACACTAGAAATTTTAAACTAAATTAATTATCATATTCAACAGTATGCATGAGGAGTGTAGCTCGTCATTGTGCGATATGGCATGAAAAACCAATGACGAGCTAAACTCGTCATTTTACCGGAAGGGGTTAACAATGCAACAAAGAAGTTATCCAATGACAATTGCTTCTTCCTTCTTTTCAATATTTCGCATAAAATGGCATTACACTGTCGATAAAAAGATCTGCTCGCATTGCTACAGTCTTTTTCTGGTACTGTTTCTCTAAAAACTTACATTTGTTGTTAACCATCTTCCTGATCTTTCTCAGATGAAACTTTCTCCTTAATTTCTTGTTGTAGTTTGGGATGAAAGACCATCAGTTGGTCGTTGGTCATGCCTTGGCCCTGTTTTTTCTGCAGCTCTTGAACGTCTTCCTTATTTACTTCCAGTCACTCTTTCAAGGACAATATTCCATCGATAGTAAGCTAGTAGCTTGGCTCCCGGTCAATACCGTCTAGTGGTCACCCATACGGGATTAGGGTATGTACCTCTTACATACGGGGGGTTATACCTACCTCTTATCAGAGAATGCCTAATTTTTATATAGCGATTACATTAGACAAATTTGATAGTAGCCGTATGTTCCAGCCAACCACCGGAAAACGCAATGGCTCTGGTCGTGTAAAGGCAGTTAATTTTCCTTATTATCAGCCACTTGAAACTAAACAACGCAGATAGTGACCAGCGTTGGAGAGTCAGGGCCTACTATAATAGCCGCATAAGCTGAAAGAAGTTCATGCGTTGGCGCCCTTCCCACGTTGAGGAGGTATCAAGGCGGGGAATTTTATCGACAATTGGCAACACCTGCTCATAAACAAATCCTTCAAAATCTTGTTTAGGTACAAAATCAGATTAAAGTTTTCCCCAAGCAGAATTGATGGTTCCGTTGGTGAACCATCTCAGGCTTTATTAATGAACTTGAGGCAAAGAATTTTCTAAATCCCTCAGAAAGTAAGGTTTGTTCTTGGAACATCACTGAAATACTGCTTTATTGGGAAGCATTGCAAATTTGAGGTCATTTGCTGATACACAGAATAGAGCATTATTGGAAGAAAAGAACTTCATGAATCCATATTCTTCTAGTAGATTATTTAAAATGTCTGGTAGATGAGCAGGAGCATTATACATATATCTAGGAGATTTTTTAATGACAGATTTAAAAAAAAAATACTTCTGAAGGACAGACCTCCTTGGTCCACTCAACGAATAACGTATGAAGGACGCAAGCCTTTCTATAGAATTTTATAATAAAATTTAACTAGTTCTGCATTTTGAATTTCCTAAAGAATTGTGGATCTCCGAAATGATTCACAAACAGCGGCTTGACTTGAAACTCCTCCTGCACTATCAAACAACAAGAGGATGCGGCTTTCTTTCATGCGCTTGTAACTGAGCATTTCATTCTCTTCTGCTGTAACGTACGTCCTCTTTGGCAGCTTTTTCAAAAAAGCTCCGCCTCATTCACCGTTGAAAATCTGCTGCTGCAGGTAGCAACTGGAAGCAATGAGCCTCTTGGGGGAGTTTCGCAACGAACGCCTCAGCTGCCTTCAATGCCTGAACTCACAACTTCCTCTACTCATAGTTCTATGAATGATACTTCTCTTAATCAAATCACCGCCTGCTCGCGTTGAAGCCTTTTTCGTTCGGCTTATCTGACAGTTTACATACGAAGTTGATGTGTAAGGTCTTTCTTTTTCGCAGATGGAGTTCTAGGCCACAGTATCATTTGTTATAGTCTGCTGCTTTAAAATAGGAACTTCAAAGTTATTTTCAGCCACCTTATTTGACTTGTAACCATGGAAACAACAGTTGAAAGAAAAAGATCCACTCGATTAATTTCTTTTCTCCGCTTCATTTCCGTTTAGCGTGTTTCGCTTCTTGAAAAGCACATGAACTACAGTCTCAAATAAGACGGAAAAAATAAATGCTGTGCCGCAATGACGATACGAGTTACAATCATAAATGGAGAGGCAATAACCTTGAAATGCCTATTTTAAAGTAAGAGATTATAGTTGATTCTCACTTATCCACAAGAGGAACAACTTTTTGACATCATCTGGAATATTCAGCAGATGCTTTGATATTCTCGTGATTCTTCTTGCTACATGATTCTTCTTGCTTTCTTCTTTAATATCCTGCAGAAACATCGATGTAAACTTGTTATATTAAAGTGTTGAGATGTCAGCCACTCGCATAGCTTGTTCGTGCTTCTCGATAATTTCTTTTATAATTTTCAACATAATCATTCTCTTATAGCTTTCAAGTTTTTCCTTCAAGGAGTTCAGTATTGCAGCACAGTTATTAAAAACAAACTTGGATACAAAATTTTAAAAAATGCTTTTCTTATCCAGACGTGGTCCTAATACTACGATAAACAGCATACGGTGGCACGGTTGTTAACTATACTATTGAAAGCGAGTAGGAGACGATTACCATAATTTTACAGGGACTGAGGAAGATGAATTATACGTTTGACTGTGATCAGGTGATGCTCAGTGGACAACTCTTCTACATAAAATTTATATTGCACGACACCTCGTCTGTTTATCAAGTTAAATTTTTTGGAAAACACTCTCAGACCAAGTAATTCACAATCTAAGTTTTTACTCTAATTTAATAATGAAATAAGAATCATTAAATATAAAGTTAAACTTCTAATGGCGACCACCTCTCTAAGATGACCATCTCTAAAAATGATTTGGTATTTCAAAGAACGGAAATAAATAAAAG